TCCATGATCCATTTTGAGATGGATTTTGTGTATGGAGTGTGGTGTGGATCTAGCCTAAGTTTTCTATGGATAGTTTTTCAACTTTGCCAACACCATTTGTTAAAAAGCCTGTTGTTTTACTACTTAACTGATTTCATCTCCTTGTCAAAAATCAGTTGACCATAGGTAGATGGGCTGATTTCTGGGTTCTCAATTCTATTCCACTGATCTCTGTATCTGTCATTGTACCAGTATCACACTGTCGTGACCACCATGGCAGTGGAGTAAGATTTGAAATTAGGGAGTGAGATGCCTCCTACCTTATTTCTCTTTTTAAGGAGCAACTTTAAAAGCACCAATTATTTCATCTTTCTTACTCATTATAAGGTTTTGAAAGCACAATTTGCAATAAGAAGGTGAGATTCACACTTTCATGAAGGAAAGAAAAGATCCAGAGGGCTCAACAAGAGATATAGACAAAGGTCGCAGTGTTACAGACATAACTGCGAACTGTCAGTAATAACAAACACTAGTGAATAAGTGGATCTCAGGCAAGGAGGCAAGAACAGGCGTGTGCAGGGGAAACAGACCACAGTGCTGGAGAACACCCTTGGGAAAGCAGAGGTCCATGGGACAGAAGACCCGCAGTAAGACGGATGAGCAGAGGCTGTAGCAACTCACTCAAGAGCCACAGTGGCTGGAAGGGTGGCACAGGCTCAGCCAGTGAACGTTACTGTGAGGTTGTGAGTTGGAGTCAGCGGGACGGTAGCTAACAACAAAGGAGAAGAGGACCAAAGCACCGGGATCTCCAAGTTTCCAGGGCTTGGGGAGGGCTTCAGAGCTTTGAGGCCCAAGGACCCTCAGCATGCAGGACACAGGGGTGGCCAGGGCCAGGCAGGCCATGTGGCTAACGGGAGTGATAGGGCCCCTGCAGCATGCAGGAACAGGAGGGTACAGAGGTCACTCCGGGAAGTGGGTGCTTCACCCAGCAGCCCCGCATAAGTTGAGCTGTCCCCTGGGCTGCACCATTAGGTTTGATGCCCATCACCTACCACCCCACTGCTGGCCCTGGGCTCTATTTCACTCCTCCTGCCAATCAGCACCCCCACCTTCCCAGGGGTCCCAGGCGCCTCCCTGCTCAGGAACCTGCAGTCCAGGTGGAGATCAATTCCACCTGTTCACACCTATCTCAGGACCACCTCTGCCCCTGCTAGTGCCCAGGCCATGGGATTTTCTCTTCTTCCCCAACCACCTTCCGCTGAGCTAACCACACCCTCCTCCAGGAAGCCTCACTTGACTGCTCCAGCCAGTCTGCCTTCCAGAGCTTCTGGGTAGGCTGTCCAGTCTCACTTGAATTTCAGATAAACAGGACACTTCCCAGTACAAGTATGTCCACGATTGCACAGGACAAACTAAGCTAATCACAAGTTCTCACTGCTTACCTGAAATGCAATTGAATTAGATGTCCTGTGGGAATTTTGGGTTTTGTTTTCTACATCTTGTTCCACTCCACCACACCATACCCCCCCACCCCACACACACACACGCCAGAATCCAGCGGCTGGATGTCGAGGAAACCCAGGTCCTCCCACCCCCAGCACAGGCTGGCCAGCATATCCAGCACAGAAGCCAGGAAATCTTCCAGTCTGAGCAGAGAAAGCCACGGCAGAAAACAGTTTGTGTCAGAATTCTTTCCCTGCCTCAACCAACACTGTCCCCCCTCCCCTCCCCACCCAATCCCCTGGCCACTTCTTCCCAATCCCCTGGGACCTTCCAGGTCCCACTGCACCCCATCTTTTGCAAGAGTGAGGCTCGCATCCTGCAGGAGACAGCCCTCCATGACTACACCAATTCCCTTCCAGCTCCAGATGCCCTGGGGCATCCCTCAGCCTCCCACCAGCAGCTGATAGAGCTCCAGATATGCACTCAGCTGTGCTAGTGCCTTAAACCTCTCCCCCATCTAAGGCTAGGAAGAAACCTATAGCGGAGGGACTGGAACAGAGTAGGGAAGTACAGCTTCTGCTGCCTCCCACCGCCCGGGAAGTGCCAGGGACTCTGCAGAGGAGATGGGGAGACATGGGTCACATGGGGACACTGGTTTAACCTGCACTCAGGCCAGAGACCTGTCCACCCAGGAGATGCAATGCATTAGTCACATGAATTAGTGGCTTAAATTCACTCTCCTACAGGGAAGACATGCTAGACTGTAGACCTTGGGAGTCCCCTACACCCCACTGCAGAAACAGTGAAGGGAGAGACCCCAACAGTAAGCACAGGTGGGTAGGGGCTGGGTGCCTGGGCAGTAAGGTGCAAGTGGACAGGGGTTTTAGGGTAACAGGGACAGAGGACGGGACTTGGAAAGAAGGCTGGTCCAGGAACACCTCAGGGGTGGGAGTGGAGCCACTCCTCTGCCTCAGCAATGAGAATACCCTCGCTCATCAATGGCATAGGCCGCTTTAGAACAATAACCCTCACCCCTCAGTCCTCCTGTGCATTCTGCACCAGGGAAGCATTATCCCATTGTCTGGTGGGCTCTCGTCCACACTCAAAGTGCAGGCAGCTCACAGACACTCGGCAGTGTCTCCTTAGTGTCCACCTGGTGCAGCCCTGGCCCCTGCTACCCCCTGGTGCTCAGCACCACCAGAATAGCCAGGTCAAGGTCTACACATTCTGATGACGTCAGACAGATGGACACCAAATTCCATGGGCGCTGGACTCTGCCAACCCCATCCCCTCCCTAGGTTGTCTGTCTAGCTGTCCTAGACACAGAGACCCCCGGAGCCAGCAAGTCCTTGGACTCCATCCTCTGCAACTGGCCTCCAGTGTCTTCAGGAGAGAGAGAAATCTCACCTGTGGTAACCTCACTTCCCAGCCAAGTGGACTGCACGTAGCACCTCAAACGGGGGTCTGGGCCCTGTGTGTCCTTCCCCTGAGCAGCCTGGCTTCTGTCCATGAAATCACATGTGCACTTACTGGCCAGCCTCTCACTAGAGAGGCCCTGTTGACCGTAGACCAAATGGCTGTGAGCCTCAGTTCTCCATCCTGGGGACGGGGTTGACAAGACCACCTGCCTCACAGAACAGCCCTGAGGATGAGAATGGGCAAGAGCAGGAGGCCTCCAGCACAGTCTCATGGACCTGACAGGGCCACTGCCATTCCCCCTCAGTCTCCTCCAGCTACCATCACAGGCCACATCCTGTCAGTCCCCTCATCTCCATCTGTCTGTCCCCTCCTTCTGTCATCCATCCTCTGACACTCACTGAAGACGACACAGCCTTCACAGGGCAGTGCTGGGACACTGAGCTACTGGGCATTTGCCCAGTGGAGACAATACTCTGGCTGTGAGTAGAAGACAGGGGCTGAGGAGATCATGCCTGGAGAGGGAAGTGGGCAAGTGGAGGGCCAGGTGTCTAAGTGGAACGACAGATGCCCAGAACTCAGTCTTTGGGGGCTACAAGATGCTAGAATGTGAGTAGGTGCAGACAGAAATCCTGGAGAGGAAAATGTGTATGGACAGGCCCCAAAGGGCCAGGGCGTACCCTGCGTCCAAGAAATTAGTTCTAAGCGCCTCCGGCGACACAGTGGTGAATCCTCTCAGCAATTTAGTCTTCAGTACCTCCAAAACTCAGTAGTTATTCCTCTGGGAACTGAGTACTCAGAACTTCCAAAGCCCCACAGTTACTCCTCCCAGGGAGCAAGTACTCAGTCCTTTCAGCGACCCATAGTTACTTGCCCTAGGGTCCCCGGATCCAAGTGCTCATCACTTCCATAGACCCACTGACTTCTCATTTCAGGGACGCAGCACTCAGCCTCTCTGAATGCCTGTTGTTCCTCCTCCTGGGGACCAAGTTCTCAGGACTCGAGCTCTGCAGGAGCGTAAAAGGTAGGAGAAGGGAGCTGCCAGCAATGGAGACTGAAAGTTCGGCCCCGATCACCAAAAACTACTTAGGCCAGCTGGGGGGACCGGAACAGGGACACTGGAGAGTCATGGAAGGCATTTGAGCAGGACATGCTCAGACCTCGCCAGGCAGGGCCAGGCCTGCCCTAGTGCCTGCATCTGTTACCATCTAAGAGCTGTCTCACCTCGACCAACCCCATGCCCAGCACAGTGCCAGCACGGGGAGAGGGAACTGGCAGGAGGAGAGGCTGAGGGTCAGGCAGAGGGGTCACCAGATGCTGGACTGAGCAACCAGAGCTGCAGAGCTGATTTGGGAGGCCAGAGCCCCAGAAGGGGCGGGGCGCTGCCAAGCTTCCTGGACCACCCCCTCGGCCCACATGTGAGAGGTGAGTAGGAAGCTAGTTTCACTCTCTGCCTCCTCATGGCCTCCTCCCTGGGCGCAATCCAAGGCTGAGGTGATCATCAGGAGAAATGTCCACCCAGGATCCTGGCCACCTCTAGGACTCCTAGTCTCCTGCTCACTCTCAGGGTCCAGCAGCATTCTGACTATGTCTGAATCCTGAAGGAGCATAAGCCTCAAAGTCAGCTGGTCCCTTGGGCCCCCCAACCCCAGGCCAGCACACCCTGGCCCCTCAGGGCCATTCTCTGGTGAGTGGGGGCATCTGGCTAGTAGAGTGGGTGATCCGCAAGTCTTCTCCCTCTACAATGAGGAGCTACTCACCTAGAGGTCAGTTAGTTACGGGATCCCCAGAATATCTGCAAGGGGAAAAGACGCCCTCTTCCACCCTAGCCCCCAATCCGCAGACTCCATGGTTTCAGGGGTGATGCCTTGGCACCCTGGTTCTACTGTGATTCTGGCCATCCTGGCTCAACTAAGAGGGAGTTGGGGCACCCACAGCTGCCCTTCCCAACCCAGGATGACAGTGCACTGAGGGCCACAGGAGAGCTCAATGTGTGGGCGCAGCCTAAGAATCGCGGAATTGACAGGGGAGCACAGAAAGCGCCGGCGTGGACCCCTCTCAAGTCAGACTCACCTGCATGCTGGAAGGTCATGCAGCGCCCACAGACTGCTGTGTGGCTGCTGGGCCGAAGTCCTGGAACCTGACTTCCGTGTAGGACTTACCCCTCCCTCCTCCTCCAGGCCGGTCCCTAGCGCCGCCCAGAGCAGCAGGGGCGGAGTGAGTACCTTGGAGCCAGGAAAACCCCCAGACTCTGAGCAAGCCCCCAACATCTAGGGAGTCGGGTGAAAAAGAGCTGAGTGAGCCCTGGGGGTCCCCAGGTCTACCCTGGTCCCAGCAGAGTCTCTGCCTCGCCCACCTGCAGCTTTGGGCCAGTGCCTCACCTGTAAGGTGAGTTCTGACTGACACCCCATCCTGGGGTTTTGATCCCTACAGCTGAGGTAGGAAAGCAGCCTTGGATGCAGAGGAATCTAGGTAAGTGCAGGCCTCCCTCCTCAGTCCTCTGCCAGATGCAAACCCAAGGATGTCCACCCCCACCATCTCCAGCCCGGGGTGGTGAAGCAGATCAGTGATCTGTGGTCTGTAATTCCCACCTCACTGTTGAATGAGACTATGCAGTCAGGCATTTGGGGTTCCCCTAGGATTGAACAGCTTGCCAACCATGGCAGTGAGGTACACTGCTCTTTCATGGGGTAACCAAAATCATGCCACTTCCAAGCTCTGCATTCTACCCAAGGCTGTATGTCTTCACCAGAAACCACCCACTCTCCCACCACAGAGCAGCTGGTGGGCTCACCAGGACCGGGTGAGCAGTCCAATGCGTCGTGCTCTGTGCCACCAGAACGCCTTACCATGTTGAATTGTGCAAATAAGGCATATAGAAAGCAAATAAGGATGTGGGTCAGTTGGCTAATATTGGCTTACAATGGTAGAAGCATTCCAGAAGCAGGAAGAGGCCTCCCTCCTAACAAGAAGGGACAGGGGTCCCAAACTGGAAGGTAGACAGAGGTAATGTCAGAGCACCCCAATACTGGGGGGCAAAGAGGGAAGCACAGGGCATGTCATGGTGGGCCAGGGGGCACCTGCAGCACTCTGAGGGACAAGGACATCAATAGCAGCAGGGGGCAGAAGCACTCACATCTGGGGACAGCAGAGGCACCCATAACCTCCATTGTCACAGGGAGCACCTACAATCTCCACAGGAACAAGGAGAACCCACACAATGGGAGGGTGACAGCAGGGAGCCCCCCATCATCAGGGAGCATGTCTGACAGGGCTTAGAGCAAGGCTGCTAGCTTTGCCCTAATGTTTTGGTGGGTGACCCTGTGGCCAGCTCTGACTGTGGCAGGGACAGCACTGGACTAGTGATGACAGCCAACTGTTGGAAAGAACAGAAAACCCAAAGGCTACAAGCTCCTTTGTTTCCCTAGCCACAAGTGGCTAGCCCCAAGGATGCTGGTCCCTGCCATGAGATGCTCTGTCCCCTTAAATATCAGCCCCAGCACAGGGGTCAAGATGGTTCCTGAGCCAGTGCTTCCTGTCCACTCTCAACAGGAAAGAGGAGTGAGCAGAGCAGGGCACCTCATCTTCAAGGCTACTTTCTAGAACTTGCACACAACCCTTGAACTCTAATCCTGCTGGCCACACCTACTGCAAGAAGGGCTGGGCAGTAGTGTCTTTCTTCCAAGGAGCCACATGTCCAGCAACAATAAGGAAGGGGAAAGGCACAGCCCAGCCTCCCTCCCCTCAAGCAGCTAGCTGGGACACAGGTGAAGGGCTGAGTTCTCCGGACCACCTTGCCTGCCCCAAGGTGAACTGCCCCAAGAGTCTGTGTTTGCTTTAACATTGTGTTAAAGGAATTGCACACCTCTCCAGATTCATGGTGACTCTGGTGTCCCACAAACTCACACACCTGCACTTCTGAAAGGTGACTTTATTCTGCATTTCCCACTTATTGACACAGAAATGCTGCTATTTATTTGTTTTCGCATTGGAAGAACCTAAGGATGACAGATTGAGGTTTAGCAGTTTCATTTTGCTCAGATCCACAATTAGCACTTTTAGTGCCAGTTGCCAATTGCTTTGGGAGAATCTGCTTTCAAAGATCTCCTGAGTACTAAAGAGCAATGATCTCAGCCTAGAGACTAAGGTGAACCTGATTCAGGCCAGGTCTTCGCAATTACTTGCTATGCATCTAAGAGCAGGACAATGGCTAAGGATGACAGAAGAATTGATGCCTTTGAGTTCTGGTGCTTGAGAAGAGTATGAACATACCATGGACTGACAAAAGAACAAACAGGTTTGTCTTGGAGAAGGTGAAGTCAAATTGGTCCTTGGAAGCAAGGATTTTGAAACTCTCACATACTTTAGGCACGTGGCCAGGAGAGACCAGTCCTTGGAGAAGGACATCAGGATTGGACGAGTAGAGGGTAGCATAAGAGAGGAAGATCTTGGATTAAATGGATTGACCCAGTGACTGTGGCAATGGAGTCAGGTGTGTGAGAAACGGTGAGGTTTGCCAGGGAGGGCAGGGTTCAGAGCTGGTGTTCCTAGGGTCGCTCTGAGTCGTTACTGACTCAACGGCACATGACAACAACAGCAAGGATGACAGAAGAATTGATGCCTTGGAATTGTGGTGTTGGAGAAAAGGGCTAAATATTCCATGGGTTTCCAAAAAGAACAAACAGATGTGTCTTGGGGAAAAATGCAGCCACAGTGCTCCTTGGCGGCAAAGATGGCAAGGCTTCAGCGCACATATGTTGGGAATGTTGCTAGGAGAGGCCATTCCTTAAAAAGAGACATCATGCTTGGAAAGGTGGAGAGTTGGCAAAAGAAAGGAAGGCCTCCACATTGAGGTGGATTGACACAGTGACTGGCTCAAGTGTGTCAAAAATGATACGGGTGGCGCAGACAGGACAGGATTGGGCAGGATTCAGATCTACTGTCTGTTAGGTCACTATGAGTCGTACTCAACAACACCTAACAATGACAAGTTGAATTCTAAGGTGTGTAACTTATCAGGCTGTTAACCCAGGGTTGGGCAGCCCCTCCTACAAAGGCTCATAGCCTCCTAAACCCCAAGAAGGGGAACAGGGTCTGCTTTAATTGGACAGCACTGAGTTTGGGTTGCAGAATTACACCAGAGTCCTTTCTGGGAGTGTCCAGGCTCTGATGAAGAGTAAGGCACTTGGGACACTTCTGTGGATACTTGTCTCACCAAGGGGTGGCAGCTTCTGCAACCTAAAGGGGTAGGTGAAAGGAAAGGCAGGTCTCATTTCCTCTTCTCAGGAGAGAAAATGAGAGCTGTGTTTTTTAAAAAAGTAACTATGAAATAAGACTTAGAGCGTGAAAATAATTTCCTTATTGCTCCATTCATTCTTTTAACAGGCAGGATCCTAAGGGGAAAATCTAAGTATGTAAAAAATACATGTCTTTTGCAGTAAACATTATGATAGAAAAATTGTAAACAGCCTAGGTGTTCAACAATAGAAAATGTCTGAATGATCATAGCATTTTTGCTTGCTGAACATGCAGGCATGAAAAATTATGTTTCCAAAGAGATTGTGAACATTGGAGATATGTATATAAATGTGAAAGAAGAAAGTAGAAAGAGGGTTTCCCCCCAAACACATTAAAGTACTCAAATACAGGAAAGCAGATTGAATATTTGACATCACATCTGCTTAACAGAACCGAAGACTGCAGCGCTGGGCTTTCTTCTTTGTACAGATCAAATACCTGCAAGCACAGCCCTGGGCAGTTAGTTCTTAGGGTTTGGAACGCTACACTCGCTGAAATGGCAGTTTGAAGCCAGCAAGAGGCATCTTGGAGGACAGGCCTGGTGGCTGCCTTCTGAAAGGCCATGGCCTTGAAAAACCAAGCAACAGCTTTACTCTGAGCTCATAGGACCACCGGGGGCTGGAAGGTCCTCAGAAACAATAACAAAACCCAGCACACCACTGTTAGCAGTTACTGTGAGAAGTGCTGCTTCCCACAGACCCAGCTCACTCCGTGGCCTCGCAGACCACTGGTCAGAGGTCCCACTGTGTCTTGACCAGAGAACGTTGGTTGAACCCAAGTGGGCCTCCTGCATGCCCAGACTCCCAACTCCAGGAGGCCTTGCATGTCCAACACCCTATACCCTAAAGACCACAGTGCAAAGGATCCCTCAACCCAAGACATCCATTCCCTCAGCCATCCAGTGGATTCTCAGCCAGAGACCCTGCAGGATGGAGTAGCACTATCCCGTGGCTGTCCAAGGCTGTGAATCCTTGTGGACACATCCTTCTCCCTCAGAGTGGCTTGGGGGTTTGAACCACTGACCTTTCCGTTCTCAGCTGTGTGCTTTAATCGCTATACTACCAGGACTCCTTCCCCAATACCCTCTTTCCATGGAATGATCTGGTGCCCACCCTGCAGTCAGCACAGTTGGACAGTACCAAGGGGAGAACTCTGGCACAGAGCATATGGCTCTCTCCTTTCACTCTTAGAGGGGGAAGGCTGTCCTCCCACCCCTGAGCAGAGATGTCACAATGTTGGGAGGGTCATCTCAGGATCAACAGTACTGGTTGCCAAGCTTTGTGCCTATGAGAAGCTGCATCCTTCCTGTCCTCTTGTGGCTGATCCCACCCAAGCAAGCTCCTTAGACGTTGGTCTTCTGAGTGTGAACACCTGTCTGGGGCGGGCTATCCTCCCTTCACAGGCCTCTGCAATCAAACTGCTGGACCTCAGCCTATAGCTGGTGCTAGCCTGTTACTGCAGGAGGGGAAGAGCATGGGGGTATATCCATCCGCTCTGAGACCCTCCTTTAGAGCTACAACCTCATTCTTAAATAGCTAAAGTTCCCTCAAGACCTGTTTCCTGGAGAAAAGGGGAGCAAAAGTGATTCCCAGCTGGTCTCACTGTGGCCTCCCACTTCCTCTTCACCTGCACATCTTCAGCCTGCAGCGAGAGAAAGCCAGTTTTCAGAGGAATGTGGTTGTGGTTGTAGGTCCCATCAAGCTGAATGACCTTATAAACAATAGCTCTGAACACTGTCCTATCCTGTGCCATCCTCAAAATCTCTGACACACTGGAGCCCATTGCTGCAGTCACTATGCCAATCCAGCTGGTTGACCCTTCCTCTCTTTCACTGACCATCTACCTTTACAAGCATGATACCCTTTTCCAAGGAATAGCCTCTCCTAACATGTCCAAAATGTGCAAGATGACCTTTATCATCTTTGTCTCCAAGGAGCACTCTGGCTGCACCTTCTCCAAGACATATCTGTTTGTTCTTTCTACAGTCCATGGGATACTCAATACTCTTCTCCAACACCAAAAAGGCATCAATTCTGTCTTCATTATTCATTGTCATTCAGACATACAGCAAGTGATTGAAAAGACCATGGCCTGAATCAGCCTCATCTTAGTG